CAACGGTGCAACTGTTGCTGCTGTTTGACAAAAATAAACGTGAAAATGACTATGCGAGAGTTTTTGAGAAACTAAAGAAATTTGATCACCCTCCCTTGAACCAATTTGATCACCTTGAGCCTTCTAAATTTGATGCCAAAAGAATAAATTTGTTAATCAATTTTGATTGTTTTGTTTTATTTTGTTTATTTGGATGTTTTTGGTAAAAATTTCAGAACAATCCAATCTTGGGAAGGTTGATTTTCAAATTAGGCTCAAAATGCACTTTTGTGCTAATTTAATCCATTCTCGTTTGAATTTAAGCAAGATTTTAAAAAAAGATTAAAAGAAAGAGAACGATCGATTGATTGAGAACGGTCGATCGATTGCCACTAAATCAATTGAACGGTTGAATATCTTTAAAAAGAGGCGTATATAAGGCGGTGTATATAAGGCGGTGTATATAAGGCGGTGTATATAAGGCGGTGTATATAAGACGGCGTATATAATACGGCGTATATAAGGCGGCGTTTATAAGACGACGTATATAAGACGGCGTTCATAAGACGACGTATATAAGACGGTGTTTATAAGGCGGCGTATATAAGGCGGCCTATGTAAGGCAGCATGTATAAGGCGGCCTATGTAAGGCAACAAGATACTCAAGGCATTGCACACCAAGAAGTTTCACTGGAAGAAGATTTTGAAACAGAAATAGCTTTATTTAACAGTAACAAATAAGGAAACAAGAGATCATTCGATATGACCGCCTTTTGCCTTGATAACAGCCCTTAATCGGTTCGGATATGCCTCCACTGCGGCCCGAATGTCATCTTGAGGAGTCGCCTTCCATCCTTTGGTCAAAGACTTCTTCAAGGTCAAAGACTTCCTCAAAGAATCCAAACTTGTGTGTTTTCGAGAGCAGACATTAGCCTCTAAGATTGCCCAAATGGAAAAGTCCATCACATTGAGATCCGGTGAGTTTGGAGGCCATTCATCCTTGGTGATCACTGAGGGAAAGTTGGCCACACACCAGTCCTGAACCGTCTTCTTCGTGTGAGCGGGAGGCAATTAGGCAAGAATAAAGAAGATAGAACGCAACACAACAAAAAAGGGGGCAAAAAAATAAGAAAGCTGTTTGGAAAACGGTCTCTTGTTGCAATAATTATGACGCACCCTGTATATAAGGTGGCGTACATAAGACGGTGTTTATAAGGCGGCGTTTATAAGACGACGGATATAAGGCGGCGTATATAAGGCGGTGTATATAAGACGACGTATATAATACAGCGTATATAATACGGCGTATATAATACGGCGTTTATAAGACGGTGTTTATAAGGCGGCGTATATAATACGGCGTATATAAGGCGGCGTATATAAGGCGGCGTATGTAACGCAGCGTATATATTCGCCTATGTAACGCAGCGTATATAAGACAGCGTATATATTCGATTCGTTTTATTTTAAAAGGTATGCAATCACTCAAAAATATAATAGCTCATGAATGCTAGAAACCAGGATTTTCAACTCTTACATTAAAATGCCTGAAAAAGTTCTAAAATAAAAGATTTTTCAAAAATTGAAAAAAGCCATCTTGTAGATTAAGGATAGGGCTTTTTTTAAAAAAAAAAAAATAAAAAAATACATTTATTGAAAACCAATAATGTGATACAAACAAAGGGTACATAATAAGACATAAAGGTTAAACACACAATTTTATGGCACTGCGGCCGTTCTCACCCCTATTTACCCCTATTACCCAAATGTTGTGAAAGAAAAAACCCACTTGGTGGGAAAAAGAAACATTTTTATCTTGCCAGAGTGATTGAACCCTCGACCTTCCGCTTAAGAGACAAGACTCCTAACCGGTCGGCCATCTGGCCATCTTTTGAATGAAGCAAACCGTTTTTTGATTGGATAAGCCGTTTTTTCAGAAAACACATTACCCAAAAAAACGATCGTTTATAACTTGCCAACCTAATAGTTTAGTTTATCTCTGAATTCTCACCAAATTCTTAGTAAAACAGTAGCGACTACGCGACTTTACGCTCAAATTACGATCGTGAATGCGTTAAACTTTACAATATTAGAATCAATAGAATAGAATCAATACCATTAGTTTTTTTTAAAGGCATCTGGCTTGTTAGAACAACTCTGGAGATGAGCTGACAAGCGGGAAATGTCTGTCAACCTCAGAATTGATTAGAAACTTTAATGCTAACCGTTCATGGCTAGACGTTCATGGGCAGATAGGGCTTTTGAATGAAGCAAACCGTTTTTTTGATTGGATAAGCCGTTTTTTCAGAAAACACATTACCCAAAAAAACGATCGTTTATAACTTGCCAACATTGAGGGCAGTCAATAAGAAAAATACACAAAAACCATAAAAACAGGTAAGCAAAAAGTGAAATGGGGCTCATAACATAATAAGGTTTCAATTAAGGGAAAATTCCAGGGGCTCATAACATTCAATTAAGGGAAAATTCCACTTTTAAAGTGCTTATTTAGCAGTGGCAATTGTTTTTGTGTGAATCGAGATCACTGAAACTGCTCTCCCCTTTCTTTCTTTTGGTTTTCGGAGAAAGATGCATGTGAAAATGCTAAATTAAACTGTCATTTTAACATCATCAACAACACTCACCTTGGCACAAAACACAGAAGAAACGTCTCATTGAACTGAATGATGTTCAAGTAAACGATCATCACATTCCACCCGAAAAAGAGATTGACGAGTATCGAGAGAATGTAGTAGCCAATGAGATTTGTAATATTCACGAATGAATTCGTTAGCATCTAAATGCCAATCATAACTAAAACAATCGACCTTTCGGTTGATGGAAAAGTCCTTTCCGATTTTTTGGGAGAGTACCTTAAATTTGTCGAATTTTGACGTCCAATTTGTTCAATTTTATAGCTCATCCTAAAGCTGAATTCAAGACGGATCGATTGGTAAAAACCGTTTTGAAATATCTCTTTTCTAAACGTTTTTACAGCTATTTTAGTAAAGGGCGGCAGAGCCAAAAAAGCCAAAAAATGGCTGTTTTTACGTTTCGTTAGTTTTCCGTGCAGAAACCTAGGCTAAAAACATGTGTTTCGTGATCAGCGTCAAAAATAACCCCTAGACACGCATTTTCCGAATCTTAGCAAAAAATTTTTGAAAAATATTGTCACCGGTGGAAGTCGAAGTCGGTTCCAATACGGTTCCAATAGGGTTCCAATACGGTTCCAATACGGTTCCAATACGGTTCCAATACGCTTCCAATACGGTTCCAACACGCTTCCAATACGGTTCCAATACGGTTCCTATACGGTTCCTATTTTGATCTAATACATTTCCAATACGGTTCCAATACGGTTCCAATACTGTTCCTATACGGTTCCAATACGGTTCCAATACGCTTCCAATACTGTTCCAATACGGTTCCAATACGGTTCCAATACTGTTCCTATACGGTTCCAATACGGTTCCAATACGCTTCCAATACTGTTCCTATACGCTTCCAATACGCTTCCAATACGGTTCCTATACGGTTCCTATTTTGATCTAATACGTTTCCAATACGGTTCCAATACGGTTCCAATACGGTTCCTATTTTGATCCAATACAGTTCCAATACGGCTCCAATACCAGCGACCCTCAGATCAATAGCCTTTCCGCCGCTTTTCGCGATTTTCCTTCGTTTTTCCCCTTTTTTTTGTTTTATCATTTTTTTGATGTTGTTAGAAGGCTTTTTTCAGGAATGTCGTGTCAGGTTGAATAGGAGGAGCACCAGGACACCAGGACCACCAGCGGCACCTGTTTTTGTATGCATTCAACCGAAAACTCAATGCCGCACAGGCTCATCGAGAGATTACTGACGTTTATGGACCCGATTTCGTGACCGAAAAATACCGAACGAACTATCCAGAATTGGTTTCAACGATTCCGTGAAGGAAATTTCTCACTTCTCGATAGTGCAAGAACAGGAAGACCATCAGAAATCGACGAAGACAAACTTGCTAAGATTCTGAAAATGCGTGTCTAGGGGTTATTTTTGACGCTGATCACGAAACACATGTTTTTAGCCTAGGTTTCTGCACGGAAAACTAATGAAACGTGAAAACAGCCATTTTTGGCTTGCCTTTACTAAAATAGCTGTAAAAACTTCTAGAAAAGAGATATCTCAAAACGGTTTTTACTAATCGATCCGTCTTGAATTCAGCTTTAGGATGAGCTATAAAGCGTCAAAATTAGACAAATTTAAGGTACTCTCCCAAAAAATCGGAAAGGACTTTTCCATCAATCCAATACATCAACAAACAATCGATCTAACTCACTTGCCACATTAATAACGACTCCGCTCGGCTCACCTTTTTGCCTCGTTTATGCTAGAATCGTTTTCTTTTGTTCTTTTTGAAAAACTCTGTTTGAAACCTTTTTCAAATTACGATTTGTTACAAAATCCAGGGCACACATCAACGAAAATGGTGTGATGAGAATGTCGTACTTTGGATCGTACCAGTACTCGTCGACGATCCACCAACGCAGATGTTTAAACCCAATTCCGAATGCATACGGAATGATTAATTGAGCGAATGGCCATCGCAGAGTATGACGAAAATAAATACCATCAAAGGAGAGAGCGAAGAAACGACTAAATACGAGAGTGGCTAGAATGTCTAGGAATGTCTTGGAAAGGGAGGCTAGAATGTCAATCAAATTACCGTATTTTCTCTAATAGTAGTGCACCTGACCGAGCCGAGTTGATGACTATTTTACGGTTCCCGAGCTTTCCCAGAAGCTCAACACTCTAATCATCGTCAAGATCTCATCGTCAGCTACATTTTCCGACCCCACATCGATAGGTTCTGATAAGCGGCTCTCGAGATTTGGAGGACTTTAGGGTGTACTACTAATTTAGGGACGCTCAGGGTGTACTACTATTAGAGAAAGTACGGTTCTTAAGGCGAATTCTTAAGACGATCATAGATCATAAACAACGATACCCTTTGTCGCCAAACACTTCAAATAATATCACCTGATTGAGATGAACAGTTGACAGTATTGAGACATGCTCAACGGATCATATTCATCCAGATAGCCGACCAATGCGTACAACGAGTTCCTCAATGGAGGTGAGCATCTAAAATCCAGCTTAAAATGATATTAGGTTAAGGAAAAAGTTCTGACTCAGCTGCGCAAAAATTTTTTTGCATTTTTTGCTGGCTATTTGCTGGCTATTTTAATCAGGATGTTCCAAAAAGTCAGTTCAGCGTGATTTTCTCAGCGTTTCGTTCAGCGTGAATTTCTAGTGGCTCCTCAAGGTTTTTGTGGTGCTAAAGTGGATATTTTTTCACTTTTTCCCCATTTCATGATTCCCAAGAATCATGATTTGAAAGTGAGAGAAGGAGGCTCGATGATTGGCCTTTTTAAGGGTGATCCTCTTCAAAATTTGTCTTTAAAGTCTAAAGACAATTTCGATGAGGTTGGTGCATTTCTTTTCCTGCAATGCCCAAGTAATACCGGTAAAAGTGGGAAAAGGAAAAGAGAAGAAACATCTTTTGTTCTACTCGATCATCCGAAAAACTATAAAACTATAACTGGAGAGAAAATCCCTTGTTTAATTTCTACAAAATTGACGTAAAAGAAGTTGATGAGCATTTCGAAAAGTTGACTTCATGGGACAAATCTATGGACAAATCCATACATGAAATTTCTGAGCCACCATGGTTATCAACCATATAAGCCACCACCATGAGACTTTTTGGCATAAAATTAAAACTAAAACGTAACGCAAAACGTAACGCAAAACGCGCACGTCTCTCTCAAACCAACAGAAGAAAGAGTTTGCCTCCACTTGTCATCAATTCTTTTGCTTTTTCCTTCAAAGCTCTCCTTTTTCTTTTTTCTTTTTCCTGCAAAGCACTGAATTTTATTAATTTCAAGTTTAGTCTTGAAATCTACAGGGTGGCTGAAAATTACGTGCGCGCAGCATCTGAGTCTATCAAAAAGAGATTCTTGAGAAAGCTGTGGTGCCGTGAAAAAGGAGTCATCCCAATTTGACCCTTCAACAAGATTGGGCGCCGGCCCACAGAGCCAAAACAACAATTCGCTTTCTCGAAACCAAAATTAAATCTTTTTTGACGAAGGATCAATGGCCTGCAAACAGCCCGGATCTCAATCCGTTGGACTTTTCGGTTTGGGGTTTTATGGAAGAACAATTAAGAAATAGAAAAATCAACAATTTGCATGATTTACGTCGAGAATTGATCAAAATCTCGAACGACTTAGATGCAAATTATCTCCGCCGCACCGTCGATTCTGTAAAGAAGCGAATTGAAGCCTGTATCAAAGCGGATGGAGGCCACTTCGAAAATTTCTTGTAATTATTAAATGCTTTTGTTACAACTATTATATGAATAAATATTTTTACATGTTCTTTGAAAGAAAATTAAATTATGGCGCTTTCTTTGGCGCACGTAATTTTCAGCCACCCTGTATGGCTGAAAATTTTAGCTTTATATCAACTTGAACCCGACGAAATCTTCAATCAATCAATTCTAAAGTTTTGCGTTCTAAAGTAATGAACGCTTTTATGCAAAATACATGGAATGAAATGTATTTACTGTGTAAATTTAGTTTATTAATAATAACCGTATTGGAAAGCTTCAAAATCCTACTTAAATTCTTTACTTTTCCTTTTCAATGATATTGCAGTTTTTGAAGCAGTTTAGCTAAGCTATTAAAGTCATTAAAAAAGCCATCAAAAATCGTCTCAACTTTTCGCATTCTTTAAAGTCTTATAGTGGATCTTGAGTTCGAGCTCTCGAGCTAAAAAAGAGCTTTTAGAATCTCCATGGCACTTGCTTGCACAATGACTAGACAAAATGTTACAAGTCTCAAAAGAAAGGACACTTTGGAGGTGATATTATTTAGCGCTACTCTATAATAAACAAAGCAGTATATAAGTGAGTAAATGTTATAAAATGTTAAAATGTTAAAATGTTATAAAATGTCTTATAGAATGATCATATCTTATAGAATGATCCTGTAAGTTATGTGTACCGGTGATAAAGCATAGAACTCTCTCACCTTATCACGAGTATCAATTTGCACATCGTTGAGAGACTGTGCACGATGGCGTAGACGAATTTGTTCACATTTTCAGCGGCAGCCAAGAGACTGAACAAAGAAAATATAGAGAAACGATGAAGTTATCGTAAGCAATTCAAGCAACTCAAGTTATCGTAAGCAATTCAAGTTATCGTAAGCAATTCAAGCAATTCAACTTATCGTAAGCAATTCAAGCAATTCAACTTATCGTAAATGCTGCATTAAAGCGACCTCCTCAAATAGAACGATCTAATAGAACGACTCCCTTTTTCACAAGTTCTTTTTATTCCATTTTCTGGAAAACATTATTTTTAAAGTTCTAGTCGGACCTAATGCTTAGTTTTAGTAAATTCATTACAGATTACCTACAGATTACCTACAGATTATCTACAGATTACCTACAGATTACCTACAGATTACCTACAGATTATCTACAGATTACCTACAGATTACCTACAGATTACCTACAGATTATCTACAGATTACCTACAGATTACCTACAGATTACCTACAGACTACCATCTTTTCGTTCAAAGAGTTTACTGTGATAATTTGATGGGACTGAGGATCATCCTATTCACTGTTTCAAGCCGGATGGGGTCATTTCAATAGGTTGATCCATTCTTGTTTTACTAACAAGAATGGATGAACCATTCTGTTTTACTTTTGTAGTTTTAGATTACAAAAAAATGACGAATGTTCGTCTGAATCAAGAAATGATCGAGCTTTTGGGAGAATTGAACAAAAAATTCGATATAAACATTGAAGAAATCGACGATACAAGCGATGATTTGAATCTTTTCAACTTTGATCTTCCTCTTGATCTTACTGGCTAATTGCTGGCTAATTGCTAATTTTAATTTTGTTAATACAGTTGCCGCTTTCTATAACGGAACTTTATAACGAACTGCATATGGCCGAAAACTATATAACGGAATGGAATTTTGGTCCCTTCCGACGCTAAACTATACATAACGGCACTTTATATAACAGAGAAATTTTTTGATCCCTTCCATTCCATTATAGAGAGAATCGACTGTATTCAATAAATGTTATGAGAAATTTTCTTTAAAAGAAATATATAGTTTAGCGTCGGACGTCGGACCAATATTTTTATGATTGGACGTGGTTCTCTCAAATTAGGGACTATGAAAAAATAGAACGACTCCTCAAATAGAGCGACCCTTCAAGGAGGTGTTGAAAAATAGAGTGATCGCTCTAATACAGCATTTAAGGTAACCTCAATTTAAGGCAACCAGCTTCAAGGCAAAGGCAACCAGCTTCAAGGCAAAGGCAACCAGCTTCAAGGCAAAGGCAACCAGCTTCAGATCAAAGCCTCTACATTGGACTTCTCACCGTATCGGAAAGGTTAAACGATCGTTTCTTGCGACAAAATAGACGGCCAATGGAGTAGTGATGAGGCTGAGTGCGATCGACTGAAGAAATGGAAAGAGTTTAGCTGGAAAGTGATCCACTCACCCAATCAGCCATTCCAACGAGAGTAAAGCTGATCTCGGTTCTGAGCCTATCATCGATATCCGGTCTATCCCAAGAAGCATAGCCAACAATATTGTAAATAGTGACCATCAATACATAAACTCCTAAAAGATTCGCTATTTTGCAAAAGCCTACAATGCAAACCGATTAAAAGTAGGGTGATGACGAGAAGGAGAAACAAATCTTGACGCGTTCTCCAGAAGTGGCTCTCAAGAATTGACATTAGCGAAGATATTAGCTAAGATATTAGCTAAGATATTGGCCAAGATATTAGTGAAGATATTAGCGAAAATATTAGCGAAGATCTGCTGAGCTGAGCTTATAAATGTAGAGATTTTGTCAGCTTAATTTCAAAAAGAACTTTAAAAATGAATTCTCGGAATTTTGCTTTGCGAATTTACTTTGCAAAAATGACGAATATTAGATGATTGGTGTGAGAATTTATGTGAAACGTGAGAAGAACGGTGTAAGTCTCTTTTGGCTTTTTTTGTATCAGCTTTATTGGATCATTGTGCGTTTCACTCCAAGATGATTTTAGATTTCTGCTGGATCTTTTTGTCGTTTCGTGTTGGAAGTTGGGGACCGAAGGCGAAGGCGTTTTTGGCATCGTCTTGAGTTTGGAAGCATTTCTCCGGGAAAAAGTTGTCGAGGTGTTTGGAGTGGTAGTCGGTAGGCGAAAGGTCCGACGAATATGGTGGGTGAGGCAAAGTTTCGTAGCTCAGTTCGTTCAGCGTTCAGCGTTTGCAGGGTCGGTTGTGCGACGTGCGGACGAGCGTTGTCGTGGAGAAGAATTGGACCTTTTCTATTGACCAATGCCGGGCACATTCGCCGCAATTTCTGGTGCATTTCGTCGATTTGTAGGCAGTACTTCTTCGCCGTAATCGTTTCGCCCGAATTCAGAAAGCTGTGATGGACTGCCGGCTGCGGACCACCAAAAAGTCACCATGAGTCACCAAGATATTAGATGATTGGTGTGAGACTTTATGTGACGAGAAGAACAGAGTAAAACTCTTTTGGCTTTTTTTATGTTAGCTCTATTGGATCATTGAGCGTTTCAGCACGCCAAGATGATTTTAGATTTCTGCTGGATCTTTTTCGGTTGGAAGTTAGGGACTTGAAAGTCTGCTTGACAGGGACTCGAACCTGCGACCTTTTTCTTGCTTTTGCTTTTTCTTATTCCTTCATCCACTGAGCTACAGTGCAACTGATCCCACCATGGTGAGCATTTCAAGATCAACACCTTTGCACTTACTCATTAACATCAGCAAAACTTTAGCCTCACTTCATTTGTTTATTCAAAACCGTGCTACAAAAAGTCACTGCACAAGAGGTCAAACACAATTGCATTGCCGCCATCATAGTTTCTTTTGATGAAAATATGTGGCTCCTTTTATAAATCACTCTAAGAGAAAGCAAATTCATCCAGGCCATCAATTGAAAAACGTTTTGCTTCAGTCCAAGACTTCAGTCCAAGACTCAGATCCAAGTCCAAGACTCAGATCCAAGTCCAAGACACGGATTTGATCGGGATCGAGTTTATTTCAAAGAAAATGGACTCTGTTGATTATCAAAAGATGTTGGAAAAGTATATATTGCCATATCTCCAAGGTTAAGATATGAAATTAGTTCAGAATTGTTCAGTTTTGAAACAAGCTTGATATTTCATTTGATTTTCAGACTAGGCCAAGCCAAGGCTTGAACAGAAGTCTGGCTTAGGTTCTACAGGCGAGCCTAGAGTCAGTCAGTGAAGCCAGATTTCGCAAAGCAGGACCAGGCAAAAAACTGAACCCTTGAAATTGGGCCCGGGATTGATCACGGGATTGATCACGGGATTGAAGCCGGGATTGAAGCCGGGATTGAAGCCGGGATTGATCCCGGGTTGATCCCGGGATTGATCCCAGGTTGATCCCGGGATTGAACCCGATAATGCGCCAATTCACACAAGTCGATCTACTATGCAATGTTGAGCTTCTAGCAAAGTCGACGTACAGTCGAATATCGATATGACAAATCGCTCGGGACCGAAAACTTCGATATAACAAACCTAAAACATGCCTCAAATTTCCCGCATAGCTGCCCTGGACGGTCACTGCTTGTATTTGGCTGGGGCAGGTACGCAGAAATTTTGGGCACGTTTTAGAATTTCAAATTTTTTGCATTGAAGTTCGCTATAAAGTTATCGAATTCGTTATTTGTTATCGAAGTTCGACTGTATTTTTATGGCCTTCTTGCAGCCCAAACCTTAGCATCATTAAGAACTTTGGAGCAATATCGCAGATCAATAAAATCTCTCTGTCTGTCTAAAATCCCTCATATCGGCAAGCGTTATAAGAGAGGCCAAGAACTTGTTTGCCAAATTCCTTGCGATTGCTACCTATTTAGCAAAAACGGCAGATTCGGACAGCAGATTCGGAATCAGCGTAAAATTCTGCATCGAATGGTTTAGGTTTCATTTCGATTGGCCACCTTGATCTACTTGTTAATAACAAAACGTGTCTCTAATGAATAAAGGATTTTAAAGAAATATCAAAACGCAAGAAATTTTACATAAAAATCGACTTACGGAAAAACATTCGCTGTATTGCAAAACAAAAATGCTTAGAAGATTTTCGGATTTTTAGACTTTTGTTGTTTGTTAACCGGTTGTTAACCTTAACCGATTGTTTCCTCGTAAAAGGATACTTGCTAACACATTTCCTTTTTTATTAGGTTTTTCCTTCTAAAGTCAGCGATCAAAGAGAGGGAAAAGAGGGATCCTTTCTGAAATTGAATTCCCGTGCTTTCGCCGTTTTCTCAAGCGATTCATGCCGATTCATAACGATAAAAGAAAGCTTTTTTTTTAAACTTTAAATCTTTATTTTTAAATTTTCGATCTACACTTGAGGTTTTCTATAAAGAAATAACGATTTTGAAATTCTAAAAGTTGCCCTTAGCTGCCTAATTAGTTTGGATAGTTGCAATTGTTGCAATTAGTTGCAATAGTTGCAATTAGTTGCAATTGTTGCAATTAGTTTCAATCGTTGCACTTATTTGCAATCGTTGCAATTAGTTGCAATCGTTGCCCACACGTTGCAATTATTAGGTTCTTCGGAAATAAATGACCGTTTTCAACTCGAATATTTAAAATCCCATAACTTGATCCAAACAAAACTTTATTAATCGAAATAAGAACCATTATAATTAACACATTTTCCCCAACGAGAAACAAGTTTATTTATGCCGGTAGCATAGAAGTCCAGGTTTCTGGAGGCGATAAAGTCGGCGAAGGCGTTTTCGGCATCGTCTTGAGTTTTGAAGCATTTCTCGGGAGAAAGTTGTCGAGGTGCTTGAAAAAGTGGTAGTCAGTAGACGAAAGGTCTGACGAATATGGCGGGTGAGGCGGCGTAGCTCAGTTCGCTCAGCTTTTGCAGGGTCGGTTGTGCGACGTGCGGATGAGCGTTGTCGTGGAGAAGAATTGGACCTTTTCTGTTGCCGGGCACATTCGCCGCAATTTCTGGTGCATTTCGTCGATTTGTTGGCAGTACTTCTTCGCCGTAATCGTTTCGCCCGGATTCAGAAAGCTGTGATGGATTCAAAACCTAAGCTAAAAACATGTTTTTCGTGATCAGCGGATAAAATTACCCTAGATAGCGTAAAATTAGGTCTTTTTGGAGTAAAAAAAGTTGAAAATTTTGTAAAAAAAAAATGAGAGAAGAAAAGGAAAAGGAAAAGGAGAAGGAAAATGAATGAATTTGAATGGGGAACATGGATTTCAATCTTATAGTATTGTGGATCTATAGTATTGTCGATCTTATAGTATTTTTGTTATTGTTATTGTTATGTTGTTCAAGTTCACTTTGTGTATCTGCAGAAATAAACTTACAATTAGCTTACTTTAGCTTGCTTTAGCTTACTTAACCTTACAAACTTAAACTTACAATCTTCCCTTCTTATATCTTAATCTTATCTTAGTCTTATCCTAGTCTGATCTTAGTCTTATCTTAATCTATTGGGTTGGTGAATTGAAAACTGTTTCGCTTAAAATTTGTCATCTGTGTGCGGCCGCGTAATCGCTCGTCGACTGGCGCAGGGCTTTTACATAACCCCCTTCCCTCTGCCTCTCCCAAACTAATCTGGCCGGCTTCGAATCCTCAAATTGGACCTTGACTTCTGCTCAAATCAAGGCTAGTCTCAATCTATTGGGTTGGTGAATTGAAAACTGCTGGCTGCTGGTCAGATGTGACCGTTTGAGCACTTTCTTCAAAAGAAACCCATTTTGGTGTCAATGGAAATGTTGTAGAGAATCAAAAATCAAGCCTATATCCAAATTTTCAGAACGATTCAAAAACTGGTTTTCAAGAAATGCCAAATTTACGAATTTTCAAAAAACTTGCAACAAAACTTGCATTTTAAGCGAACCTACTAAGTGTATCTTTTTGGAAATTTGGCTATAAGCCTAATCTTTGATACTCTACAACTTTTCTATTGACACCAAAATGGGTTTCTTTTGAAGAAAGTGCTCAAACTGTCACAAATGACAGAGCCGGCAGTTTTCAATTCACCAACTCAATATCATTACAAGATACTGAGCATACTTTATTGAGAAAAATGTACCCAAATAATAAACAATACAAAACGCTGATTTATTTCCGGACAACCTAATAGTTGCAATCGTTGTTACATTTGGGGCACGTTTTATAATCGCCTTTTTTATCGTTAAGTAAGTGAATCGTTATATAGAAATTTTGCCTTCAATATCGTGAATAGCGAAGCACAACTTTACTTTACGCTGGTAAACGCCGCCTTTTTCACAACATGATTTTCAAATCGTTACTACGGAAAAAAAAATTGAGGCATTAAATGCGACAAAAGAGATTTATTTACAAATTTCAGAGCTTAAACTACATCCAATTGACTCTCATTTTACCTTTTTTATTTCCCCATTTTCCCATTGTCTATCTCTTCCTCTAATCAATCCAATAAGCAAACAGAGAAAGAGAGATCAGTCAAATCAATGGTCAAAAAAAGGGCACAAAATAGAGAAAAAGAAAAAGGGGAAAAGAGGAGATAGGCCGAAAAATTG